TCTTCATTCACTTTTCCATTTACTGCTTGCAAAATGAACTAGGCGTGCTCGATAACAATGAATACTTTCTTATATGTTTTTACTTCAGACGAATTCAGGGTACTCATGCGTCTGTGTTTACAGAGTTTGAATACTATTTGATTACTTTTTATTCGGACTTGTCTCGTTTGTATTGGATTCTGAAACTTCTGAAATCGTTACCAACAGCGCCGTATCGCTGACACTGCTTGTTTCTCTATCAAACCATTACTTAAACGCTTTTGAGGTATAAACAATCATCCAACTGCATGAATTAACAAGCGAATATGATGGTGGTCTAGTTGTGCCCCGGGTTGGATTTCCCGACGGGACCCAAAACGATATGAGGTCACATATCAAACACCCGGGTTTTCCCAGGTACTCCGGTTTCCTCTCATATTAAGACCCCACGCGCGAAAACATCCGGGCCAACAAGGGTGATTAATGTATGTTTATATATTTTTTTGTAAAATAAATACTGTTTATCTAAATCGAAATTTGAATTAATGAACACTTTCAGTTTGGTGTAAATTCAATAATTGTAGCAAGTCCGAGTTGTAAGTCTAAGTCATTAAAAGTTTTAATTATTTCATAATCTGTGGCAAAAGCAATTTCAACAATACAAATATACAAGCGTTGTGAGTAGCATCGAATATATCAACAAGATTTGCCATGCATTTAGGGTTGTTTGATATATATGATATCCTAGAACAATACATTTAAAGGGGCATAACTTCATCCTTGTTGCATTATCTCTTCACCCCGCTTCAATTTAAGTATTATGTGTACCAAGTATAAATAAAATTTGTGCAGTGTTTTAGAAGGAGGTTCCAATTGATGTTCTGAGTCATATTCATTTTTTCTACAGACAGATAGATGCATGGACAGACAACCCAACCACATTATAACCCCTCCCCCATATTATACATTTAGTGGCCTTGCAGGGAAACACAACTCACAAGGACTAAGCTCGAGTGAAACATTTATGAGGGAAAAACAAAGTATCATTATAGCTGTATATCATTATTATATATACTGATATAGAACAATAACACAACAGTGAAGATGAATCTGGCTACCGCACCATTGTTGTCTATTTCATCAACCTGGAACTATGCTACGTTTACATTATGTTCCCAGTGACCACGGCAATCACGTTTCATGCCAACGTGGACAAAACGGGATGGACGTGAGATAACGCGGGCGTCGGGATGGGCCAACGTGACAGGCTGTGATTGCCGTGGTTGCCCCGCCAGATTTTTTAACTGTCAAAAAATTTGCCACGACAGTCACGGTGCGGATGTGAAACCTAGTAGGCCGTAGTAAAACCGGGTGAACGCAACAAAACGTGACAGTACGTAATAGGCCGTAATATAACTTGGAGGCGGTCCGTAGTGGGACGGGAAGCATGTGTATTTCCCGGCATCTCACAGTTTTGTCAAGTTCTATCGCGTTTAGTGCGCGTTCTGTCACGGTTGGTTCACGGTTGCTGCGCGTTTTGTCCCATTTTGCCACGTTTTGTCACGGTTCTCACGGCAAGCTATAGCTAGGGTGTATGGTAGCCGTTTCGTTGCGTTCGATCCGGCGCGTCACTGTGTGTGACGGTTTGCGGGCCCGGCGCGTTGCGTTCTACTACTGTCTGACATGGCGCGCGGTCTGGGAGGGAGTATATAAAAGCCAAAATCCCACGGCCACTACGTTTCGTACACAAAATCTTTTTCGTCTTGGGAATTCATGATGTTATCTCGTCGATTCGACTCAGGATATAATGATTGCTTTTGCCTGGGAGGCCTTCTTCGGCACAAACGTGCTCCAAAGCTGCCCGGTGTCCACGTTTCATCCTTGGAAAGCCTTGACAGAACGTAACAAAACGTGTCGGACCTTCATCAGAACGAGAGACTGACTATATATTCCCCATTTAAGATCCAAGCAAAAGCTACATTGGCCATCTTGGTCTTTGGAATAGGTCATGGAGTTATTCACATAGGTAATCTGTATCATTTGCCACAATGCCACCAAATTAGAAGCATGAACAAAATTATGTTTATAGTACAGAAGATATAGCCAAATTTATTTATGCAACTTGTGATTTAAAAGCTGGTGTCCATTGGGTAAACACTGCCATATCCTTTTTCTATTTTAGTATAAGTCCTTGACATAGGGATTTAAAAAAAACTATAGCATATCTGTATTACAATGTATAACCATGTGAAATTTCAGTTTGAAATTCTAGTTCCTGAGATAATCTCCAAGTGGTAACAGACAAACAGACGGTAACTTTGGTAAGTTGACGTCTTGTTTGATTATGACCAACTTTGCTCCATTATGCCACAGCAAAATGTTTACCAAAATCGGGCCTTTTGAGGGTCATATAATGTGTTTTTGATAGTATATCCCCACTGTCACATTGTATCACTTTGTGAAGTTTTAGAAATTTCGGCCGTTTGGAATCCCAAGATAATCTCCGGAAACAAGAGCGCTGACGGACAGACAGACAGACACTGTAATTACTATAGGGCACTAAAGAAAAAGGGTTTGTAGAATTTCATATTGCCAATTGTTTGACAAAAGCATAAAAAACATAAACACCCTCTGTTTATGCAAACCTGAGTCCCTTTTGTCCAAAGATGCTCTAGAACAAATTTGGTTAATATCCTTTTATTTGTACAAAATTCATTTTTCCTCTATTTCCTTTATTGGGCCCCGAACCTCTACCCATACCGGCCATATACACAAATATTATAAACACATGAATTTTTCAAACTATGAGATGAAATGTTATCAAATCATTTGCACAATATACATTTGTTTAATTGTCCCTCAATGCTGAACCAGAATTACGTTGAGCAACATGTTGAGATATACATGTAATGTAACTTTAGATACATTCAAATTTTTACACCAGCCTAAGTTTGTAGGAAGTTGCAGAATTCATCATAATAAATTGTAATATTTAAATGTGCTTAAAATATCATACCGGCGTGTATTTGAACATTTCATCAACACCAGCAACAGAAAAGGGGTGTTTAAAAATAATTAAATATTGTATATTACAAATTTGGGTCTTGTTGTGACAGGTAAAATTGATATATTTTAGTGAGGAAATAATCACAATATATGAATATTTTCAAATGAACTTTAACTGTCATTTTACAATATCAGGAAGCTAATAATATCACCTGTTAAATCTATATCTAATTGTAAATTAAAAAAAAGAGAAGTGTCTTGTTGGTACAGGTCAAACCACGAAATGATTAAAGTCTAAGGTTTAATTATGCTATATTAGATAGGAATAAGTTACAAGGTATGAATATTTTCAAATGGACTTTAACTGTCATTTTACAATACCAGAAAGCTATTAATATTACATGCTAGAAATTGGACAAAATATACCCAAAGTATTTTACCTATTATACATAATCTATAAAATCGACCCCCTTCCAAAGGGTCAACAGATGATTGCATTCTTGTAAATCTGAGTCTAGAGAAGAAGACTTTTACAATTTTAGCCAATATTCCAATGGGCCCCGACCCTCCGGCTCAAGGTGTGAGTCAGGATCTTACTTTCTGATAGCATCAAATGCATATCTCATTATTATTTCAAGCATATTTGAATCATTTCCTGTAGACTTCAAAAGAAAATATGCCATAAAGAATCATTTCTCTATATAAACTATAGTAAACTGTATCCCATCGCAAAGGGAGATAAGATTTGCCTTCGGTAAAGACATTTACAATTTATATTAAGCACATAGGTATCTTTCCGTCCCCTTTAGGTCCCACTTCTCTGGCTTCAGATGCAATACAGAATCTTCGTTTCTGATTCAATGTAATTGCCATCT